GAATACCGAGAAAACATTGTTTAAAACCAAATAAGGAATACAAAGGACAACCAATAATCACGTTGTCTAACGCAAATTGCATAACGAAATCGCTCTATGATATCTCATATAATGGTCACAAGTCCCGGGTCTTAACCCACCATTATATACTCACGACATCTTGTGCTCACATCTCAAAATCACAACCATACGGATAACTCACGTGCCAAACTCACAATCCGCCCGATAATAGTCACAGGCTCACAGTCACAAGCCGCCCGACATGATCACATGCTCACAATCACAATTCGCCCGGTATAATCACAAGCTCAATAGCAACATGAAACGGATAATACCATAATACATGGACATTATCAATAAATGTCAAGTTTCGTACTCATGAGCTAGTATAAATGGCATGCTACAGTGTATACGTGTGCAAGTGTATTACTGCAGCCCAAATCAAAATGTAATAACAAGGACATCGAATCAGGATTCGAAACAGACTGTCAAATGTGTGAAACACCTAAAAAAAAGATGTTTCAAATTTCTCGAAAGATGTTTGACTCATCACCCAAGGAGTCAATTTCAATGATGAGAGGATGAAGCTGGTTATTTTAGTCATTTTAACAAAAGAATAGCTTATCAACACTTTTTTACTAAACATATCAACCGCTTATTATCCGTTTTAGCACATCTATCCAAACACGTAACTTGCAAATATCATATCAAGAGGCATGGCATTGTTAGCAATAATAGCAAGTGGTGTACCAACAACGATTTTATTTTAGGTCACCCACTTTAGATTTGATATACCTCTCGAAATAACTTAAATAACCATCACAAATATATCAAAGCAGAGCAATGGTGCTAAATTTATAAGGAAGGCAAAATTAATAATATGGGATGAAGCACTTATGGCTAAGTATTAAATGATTGAATTAATTATCCAAAGTTCTAGAGATATATTGGATATTAATGAACCATTTGGTGGAAAATTAATGGTTTGAGATGTGATTTATGTCAAGTACTACCAGGAGTTCCAAAATCGACAAAAGTAGAGACTGTAAAAGCTAGCTTGTCAAAGTTGTACTTATGACCTCAAATGAAAAAGATTCAACTAACAAGAAATATAATGTAAGAATAGATCTAGTAATTAGTGTCTTCTTGCTTCATGTCAGAAACGAACAATAACATCCAGTAAAAAAATGATTTGGTTCTTGAAATTTGATTATCAATCCCAATGATAATAGTAGTGCATTTAATAAAAGAAATATTTCTATCATTAGACTAAAATGTAATTTGTGTAAATCGCATGATAGAATTAAAAAGACATCTTAGCTAGCAGATATGAATGTGTTGATCAACTAAATAAAAATTTGATTGTAAAATTTTATAGTAAAAACAAAATATTTTTCTGTTTTTACCTAGCAAAAAATGATATCAATAATTACTAGCAAGAAGAATACTTAAATACTTTAATACCAAATGGCCTTCTACCATACATGTTTGTTGTCAAGTTTATTATTTCTTACGTATGTTAGTGTCACCGTTTATATAATAGATTAAGTTAAAATTGATCTTCCATTGTATATAGGTTAATTTTGAAGAAATATGCTCGTCATGCTACTGAAAAATTTAGATACACTGAATAGCTTATGTTATAGCACACATATGGTATATAGAAGTTTTGATAATAACATCATACATGCAAAATTATGATATTGGTCAATTTGCTTCTAAGTATATTCTTATCCCCGAATTCAACTTTCGTCTTCCGAAACTAAGAAATATCCTTTTAAATTTGTATGAAATAATTTTTACTATGTTTATGTTTTGCAAATATAATAAATAAAGCACAAGGATAAACATCCTAAATATTGGACTATATTTACCGCAATATATTTTTTTACACGAACAACTGTATATTGCACTTTCAATAAAGATATCAAGATCGACAACAAGAGTTCTGGTTAAGGAAGAGCAACCAAAGCATTAGGGGGAAACATACACATAAATATTGTCCACAAAGAAGTGTTCGTTAATATACCATCACATTAAACACTTTTAAACTATAATACATAATTATCCAAATAACATGACAAAATTGATAATTTGTATAAGATTTGATGATATCCTTTTATTTTAAATTCATGTATTATGCTAATATAATAATATTTTTCGGCATTTAATTAGACGATTGTTGTATTATTATACATAAGATTTCTCTCATTAATTAATTTTTTTTATTCATTTATATAAATAGATGTTTAAATCATCACGTGCCATTATTAACGTGCAACGCACGTTCATAAATACTAGTTTATATATACACAAGAACTTCATTTTCGTAGCTACCTATATAAATCTGGTGATAAAGCATAAAATTATATGCTTTATAATATTACGGCAAATTATATTTTATGCTCATGTCTTTATAGTTAAAAAGTATAAAAAGTAAATGGGAATTGCGGAAATGGGTTCGCACTTGCACATAATATTTACATTAACCCAAGCAATTTGATTTTAACAGCTAAAATTAAGTGATCACAATTAGTCTACGTATATGTCGATTTTTATTTGGATTTCAAAAATTAAGTGCCTTGTATAAAGTTTTGGGATTTTTCTCCGAACATCAATTATGGGCTTAATCTATCTCCTTAAATCTTGTAGCCCAAGTAAAAATTATATATATATATATATATATATATATATATAAGGGTAAAATACAAAATTAGTCAGTCGGCCAAAACTAATTGCATTCGGTAGCTAAAAAGTATATAAAATATATATATATTATATANATATATTTCTATATATATATATATATGAACTGAGTGGAATTGGGCCAAACTCATCTTGAAAGCTTTCTGATTGAGCTTCTTCTACGGGCTTCATTCAATATCAGTTTTACAACTCGAGCCCAACAATAAGTAAAACCACCAAAAACAATATAGGAGTATGATGTCGTTGTAAGGCTAATTATTTTAAGTGATGTGAAAATGGTATGACAAAAACATTTAAATTAGAGCGATTCATAAATAAAACTACACACAATTATATTTAGGGTATTTTCTTTCACAGAGTTAATAGGGAATAAGGGATGACCCAATCGATAATATTAGGAAGTAAATCACTAAGTTCGAATCCTTACGCACAACTATCAAAATTCATCCTGACTTGTTCATTTGCCATCACTAATTATAGCCATACAAGATACGAGATTTATAATGGCCATGAAAATTATCTTGAAATCATATGTAGTTCAACCCTAAAAATGACAGGATTTACTTGTTTATTAATCAAGTAACATAATTCTAGATTCAAAAGACTTAAAATCAAAACGTTAAGCGTGGAGAATATGATCTTCCACCACATCTTTACATGTTTAAATTGATAATATTAGTAAGAAATTTACATTATATTCTTCGAGGGTGAAGGCGTTTGTTTATATTTTCTCATTTGGGAATTGGGACAAAACATGATTACTTGGTACCATGTGCGTATTGTCTGGCAAATCAGTGTAGCAACAGTTTAAAAAATTGATGAGAATAAAGTGGAAAATCCATTTATTAAAAATTGGAAAGAAAAATAAATGTCAGCTTCAATTTAATAATTAGTCGGTGCTGAGTGTTGACTTAACTGGAAATTTTAATCAGCAGTGACCTCTCAAACGCGTCAAACTGGAAATACAATAATACCCTTATATAATAAATTAAGGTATAAACGTATATTAATTAACTATGATTTATTAATAACTATGTAAATGGTATATATTCATTGATATATGTAATATGTACTTCGTCATTTGAAAATCTCTGAAAATTGTATAAAATAATACAATTTTCACATTTGAATGCCTTAAATAAAGGAATTTTAAGTTTTTGTACAAGTGGTGCAAACAATCATATCATTTAAAAATAATTACATATAACTTTATGTAAACTAATAGTAAGTAACTTGCTATACTATTTTAAATTATAACGATGGTGTTAACTTAAATCTTTAAAGGAATAGGTTGAGATTGGCTACGAAATAAAAAATACATTCACACTCAAAGGGTGTGGGAATCAAATGGAAAAGGGAACAAAAAATGGAATAAATTCAACAATTTTTGGCAGATAGACCTCCTTGATTGGTTCCATTTGACAGACAGAATTTCATTCATTTAATTATGATTTGACAAAAAATTTACAAAGATTTTACATTTTATACTCCGAAGTAAAAAAATTATTCACACAATCAGGTTCTTATAAAGTCATTACAAGTAAATCTATATTGATAAACATTTATTATAACTTGATAAAAATAATAGCAGACCTGGTATCACAAGTTAAACTATAGACGATATAGAAATATTTGCACTGTTAGTATACATAAAAAATAATACAGTCAGACCCCTCTATAATAGTATCCATATATAACAATCATTCACTATAAAAGTCAAGTTTTTTTCGGAATCGATTTTTATATTATATTATAATATATATCTTCTATAACAACACTTTACTATAATAACCAAAAAACATCGGAACAAATGAACTTGTTATAAAGAAATTTGACTTTATTAATTATTCCACGAGCCGAGGTCACCCACACAAAAAGATAAGTAAGAATCAATAAGGCCAAGTCAAGAACACCAACTTTGTACAAGTCAAAAAAATCTCAACCACATTCTAATAGAAAAATCAACTATATGATGCCAATAGGCAACTTTTCCAATCTTGACAAGTCAAGGTACAAACAGAACAGCACACAGTATAATCCACATAAAACACATCTCACTTGCATCATCTAGATCTAATTAGCTAGTTAACTTCTAAATTTTAATGTATTGTCCATAGAAAAAACAATCATTTAAATCCAATTACAAACTTTAGAATCTATAGTCTTTTATGTCAGCCACTAATCGAAAAGGATTATTATTCTCAACCTTTTTGACAAATGGATTATTATAATCCAGAAACAAGAATCACAACAATCTCATATATATAAGAAAATTTCTAACTTCAAAACACATAAAAGATAAAAGAACTAGTAAAACAATTTTAAAAAAGAATTTACCTTCTTACCATCCCAAAAGTGAAATTTTGAAAAAGGGTGAATGGAAGTTGAATCAACATTAACACAAACTTTAGACTCCAACAAGAAACCAAACAAGCTAAGATCTATCAGATTTCCAAGACTGTCTTTCTTGAAAAAAACATCCTCAAAAAAGAGCTCAAAATCCAGGTTTTCTTGTCTCTCCATTGATACATCAAGTGATAACTTGAGCCCTGAGCAACTAAGTCCAGTGAAAATGCCAGATTTATCACCAAATTATATGAAGGTCACAACTAGCTATGATGCAAAGAAAGGAAGTACTTCTCAGGTAAAATTAAGTGTCTGCACTTTCTTGATTCTTGCATTTGATCAAACAGTACCAGTGTCAAATCCTTCAAAAATATATTACTTTTGGAGGATCTGACACGCACCCATCGGTATTTTGAAGAGTCCGAACAACATAGCATAGAAGTGTTTGACTTAGTCCTAGTAGTCTATCAGTATGAAGAATAAAAATATTTGTTTGATAATGACATAATATTACAATATGAATTTTCTTACTTGTCAAAGTTATGAAAGTTTCATTTCTTGCTTGAATTGATCATTGTTAAAGAAGGCAAAATACCAATTCTCTCTTTTGTGTAACACCCTTTTTCATGTTTCAGAAGGGGATTGGATCAGTAGATGAGATCTCAATTCATTCATCAACTTTAAGATCATTAGCAGCTGAATTATCTGCACAAAATGATGACAAAATCAAGAACAGACCAGCATTAAAAAAGATAATGAAGAATTTTGGAAGTACAAGGTCATTTAGAAGAAGGTCAAGATCAGTAATCAAGAATCCTACTAAATCACTATCTGATTATGCTGCAAGTTCAGTTGAGGTTTCAGAATCATCACCACCACATTATAGGAAAGCAACAAGTTGTTCTGAAGGTAAAGGTTATTCTCATTCAAGTTTACATAATAGCTATGAATCTAGCTTTGATAGTAGTGATCAAAGCCGGAGTCCGAGGAAATATGTGCAAACTTTGTCAAGGACAACTAGTATGAGAAGTGTCAAGATTTTGATAAATAAGGCTAGTCTTAAATCCAAGAGGGGTTCCTCTAAATGCTGTCAAATTCCGGATAAGGCAACGTGTTCTTCGACTCTTAAGGATTCCAAGTTCCAGGAACATGTGGTGTTTCAACCTGGACAAACTGAATCAGATAGGATTTCTAAGTTTAAAGTTTGTTCATATCATCATTGTTCTCTGCATGGAGGACATTATGATGATCCTTCGCCCCCAGTAAAGCGCGTATATAGGAGGAAAAGATTGCTGAAATCACAAAAAAGCATCAGAATGAAAAGTAAGCCAAGAAATGGAGAGAAGTTTTCCGAAATGACTCGATTGATCCCTAGTGTAGATCCTTCTTTTTGTGTAGAAAGCAATACTAAAGAAGACGCTGGATTTTACGAGGCTATTGAATATGCTGATCTTGCTGAGATTGCCTTTGGTGAAACATCATTTCCAGAACAAAGTTACCAGGAGACACTCAACATAATGAGAAAATATTCTACACAAGAGAAAGACACTCATTTTACAGCTTCAACATGCTGCAATTGTATGGCGCGAGAGCAGATTGAATCTGTTTCTGTTACTGATGCTGTAGACTCAAAAGATGATAGTGTTACAGCATCACCTGTTTCTGGTCACCAGGAGAGAAATCTTTCACTTGTCTTAAAGCAAGATGATAGTGTCTCTACATCTGGTAAGGATGAAAATAACAACAGAACGAGATCGGTGTTGGATATTTTTAATGGAGCAAAATGTAACAGTGCAAACACTCGGTCTGAAGATGGACTATTCACTAATAGAACGAGATCGGTGTTGGATATTTTTCATGGAGAAAAATGTAGCAGTGAAATCTCTTCAGTTTCAGCTAGAAATATCCAGCTGGAACTTGGAAATATCCAAGAAAAGGATGGCAAAGCTGATCTGGACGAGGACTTTGATAGCACATCAGGTTCAGCTGTGGATTCTGAATCCAAGAATTGTCTTCCACTTGAAGTTGCTGAACCAAAGAAGAAGCATATGAGCATGTGGAGTATGATTCGTAGGCATATGATTCCGGATGGATCTGCAGAATCTGAGAACAAATCGTCTAGTGGAGTTAACGAAGAAAGTTCTGACTCATGTTTGGATTTTGTTGAAAGAGAATTGATACCTGCAAATGAGGATGCAGAAAATCAAGAAGTTGAATTGCGGAAGCTTTTCGCCATCAAGCTGGTACGAGAAGCAATCGAAAGAATACTCCTTCCAGAAGTTCAATCTGATGACCAATCAGTTACAAGCGAGTCCGGTGCAGATCAAGAATCCTTGGAAATGAATCACAATGAAGGTATGAAATTAGTACTACAACTTATATTTGTCTTTCATTTGTTTAATGAGAGTTTTAGCATGAGTAGATGTAAGTTTTATCTGTTCTCACTATAGGAATTATCCTGAACAATTGATGTAAGTTTTTTCAATGCAACAGTGTCGTCTACCAAAGAAAACTTCAAAGAGTCAAAAAGTCTGAACACAGAAGACATTGTTGGCTCAAAGAAGGAGACAACACGAAAAGAAGTCAAAAACAAAACCGAGAAGAGAGCACCAAAACACTGGAGCAATCTTAAGAAGTGGATACTTCTCCAACGATTCGTTAAGGAATTGGAAAAGGTGAGAAAGATCAATCCAAGGAAGCCGCAGCATTTGCAGTTGAATCCTGATCCTGAGGCAGAAAAGGTTAATCTAAAACCTCAAACAGCGGATGAGAGGAAAAGAGGAGAAGAATGGATGCTTGATTATGCACTTCAGAAGGCGATAAGTCAACTTGCTCCGACTCAGCAAAGAAAAGTGGAATTGCTTATAAAAGCATTTGAAACTGTAGTTCCACCCCAAGGAGACAATAGCCAGGTTGCATTTCCTAAGCTCCGAGCCAGCAGTGAAGAACATTTGCAGATCACAAATAAGGAGAATGAATTTGTTTCTAGAGCAGGCGATACGGGGATTAAGGCAGAGAAAGTTATTTCAGGCATAGACAGTAAGTGTGAAGAAAAAGACTGCTCTAAGTACAAAGATGACGATATTCAACCGTCTATACCAAGGCAGAAGTTGGACGAAGTGACAAGCGCTTCGAAAGATGAGGTTTTGGTGGAAGCAAAAGCTCAGAAAGAAGATCAGGAAGATAGTTCAAATGATTTTAATAAAGAAACATCCTCTGTTGTCTCAGCAAAAGAATGTGAGAAAGCACCTAAAGCTGTTCGGGGATTTTCTCTCCTATTAGCAATGTCCGATCCAAAGAAAGATGATGCAGCATCCCAAAAGCAGGTGGATAAGCGGAACTACATCAGCATGTGGCACATGATATCACAACATGTGCTATCAGACGTTGCGTCAAAAGTTGGAAATGAACTACTTGATGGAACTGATGATGAGGTGGAGGACAGCAATACACCAACTGGAACGAGAACCTGTAATTCTCGCCAGGATTTCACCGACACAAAGGATGAGCCAGACACAAGCAGAGAAGATCATAATCCAAGCCACAATGGGAGAAATTTTTGCAGAGATGATGCTGTCAAACTCATACGAGAGGCAGTTAACGAGATCCTTACAACGCCAATTCAAGATGATTCATCTGATACACAGTCGGTCACCAGTGACATAACCATGGACCAGGAGTTCTCAGAAATGGAAGGTGAAGCAAAGAACAGCTCAAATTCTACAGAGGAGAGCTTGACAAATCATGACATGAGTGAAGATGGAAAAATGTTTGATCAAGAAACAAAGGGTCCGGAAGCTAATACTATCATCACAGAAGAAGAGAGAGCACTTCCTTTAGCCAAGAACAAACCTGAGCCACAAAAGTCAAAAAACTGGAGCAAGCTGAAGAAGTTGATCCTCCTCAAGAGATCAATCAAGGCACTGGAAAAAGCTAGGAAATTTAATCCACGAGCACCTCAGCTTCTGCCTCCTACACCTGATCAAGAACCTGAAACAGTGGATTTAAGGCACCAAATGACAGATGAGAGGAAAAAAGCAGAAAAATGGATGCTTGATTATGCAATGCAGCATATAGTCACCACACTAACTCCAGCCAGGAAAAAAAGAGTGGCGATGCTTGTGGAAGCATTCGAAGCAGTTGTTCCACTCCCAGAAATATGAATCCAACAAATTTTTTGACTACTTTCCTATAGGAATTATGAAGGTAAGCATACTTTCCTGTATTCTTTGTAATTCACTGATTGTGAAATAACAAAAAGGGAACTCAAAGGTAACCTATATAATTAACAGATGTCTAGGCTAAATAGGACTATAGAAACCAATTTATGCAGTTCTGAATGTTTTTACTACCAGTGAGGCTACAAAGAAGAATTAGCCAGTCAGTAAAAGTTGAAAACGAGAGTAAAAGGGATGTCCGGTGCACTAAGCTCCCGCTATGTGCGGGGTCCGTGGAAGGGCCGGGCCACAAGGGTCTATTGTATGTAGCCTTACCCTGTATTTCTGCAAGATGTTGTTTCCACGGCTCGAACCTGTGACCCCGTGGCAACAACTTTACCAGTTACGCCAAGGTTCCCCTTCAATGAGAGTGATGAATGATAAATTCTGACAATGTTTACTGATTTTATTCACTATAAGAGAATTCTAATCTGTGGTCACTAATATGCAGGTTATAACTTGAGAAGTTGTGCATTTGTATTGGAAGAGATTGTTTCAGCACATAAGTGATCAATACAACAAGCTTTCATTGATTTATTAGGCAGCAATTGCTAGATAGAAGTTTGATGTGAGGGTGCATATGAAGTTTTGTATAAAAGTAGATAGGAACAATTATACTTTGTGCTACAGAGTGTATTCTATATTTGTTTTTTTTGGCAAGTAAAACATTTTTTATTTACCAAATAGAGTTATGTACCGATAACAAAAAAACTGATAGTTGGACAGCAAGCCCCAACTCCAGCTATCACTCTACACTACAATCGCCTCAACTACTCTCATATTGACAATCCTAGCTATAATGGATAGAAATTTAGCTGCTCCAGCCATTTTGCAATCCCCTGCTTCATTGCTCCTCTATGATGCACCTCTTGAACTATCTTTTTGATGATGGCTTCCTTTCCTTGTTGTTTGTTGGTGAATACTTCTTGATTTCTTTCATTCCACATATAGTAAACTGCTGCAGATAACAACATTCTATATACTGCAGCTCCAGGGCTCTTTCCACTTGCATTCTGAACATCCCACATTAGTTCCTCATCCCAGCACATAGGGTCTTCTCTGTTAATACCCTGTCATTGTAATAGGTGTTTCCATATCTGTGCAGAAATCTCGCATTTAAAGAACACATGCTCGATACTTTCATCTTCAAGGTTGCATTGAGGGCTGGTTTTGTCTACTATCACTCCCCATCTCATTAATCTATCTCTTGTGAATAATCTTCTGTGTGCTGCCTTCCTTAAGATGAAGATCCATTTGAGTAGGCCTTGGTTATTGCACACCAATTTCCTCCATGTTACCTTTGGAAATTCCCCTCTTAAACTGTTGTAAAGTTCCTTTGTGGAGGCCCTCTCCATATTTTGTATATCATGCACCCCATAACCTGCCTCAATATAGTATCTCTTGGCTTTTAATCCATGATGCTTGTTGGGGAACATCTTCAATCAAATTTCTGTTTGTCCCATAGTACACATGAATCCACTTTACGCATCGCTTGTCTTTCTTCTGACAAAGATTCCACAACAGTTTGCACATTGCAGCTTTATTACACACAGAGATATCAAGTATATTTAGGCCACCAGCAGATCTAGGCATACAAATTTTATCCCATGCCAATAAAGCTTTTTTGGATAGTTCAATACCTCCGGTCCATAAGAATCTTTTACAGTTAGCTTCAATAAGTTTTATCACCTTCTCAGGTAGCACAAAAATCTGGGACCAATATACTTGAATGGAAAACAGGACAGACTTAATCAATTGGGCTCTACCTGCATAAGAGAGGAATCTATTAGTCCATGACTTGATCCTTTCTATCATTTTATCCAGCAGGGGTTGACATTGCATCACTGAGACCCTTTTTGAACTCAAAGGGACACCCAAATATCTTATGGGAAGTTCCCCTTTAGAGAATCCCAGAATAGCCAATATTTCATGTTGTTCTACCCTCCAAAAAATACTGAGCTTTTGCTTAATTTTGCTATTAGTCCAGAAGTTATTGAAAAGCTTTGAAAACATCAAGAGCATTTTCACAAAAGTAATATCTCCCCTAGAAAACAAAAGTAAGTCATCTGCAAATCTCAGCTGAATCAGTTTTAACTTAGCACTTTTCGGATGAAAGTTGAAATTAGACTGTTGTGCTAATGTCTTTAGCTGCCTGCTGAGATATTCCATTACCAATACAAACAAATATGGGGATAAAGGGTCTGAGAATGGTCATGTATGTATTAATGGTCAGTTACATAGAATCAAAAAGATATTTTCCCTCTCTTTCTAGACTTCTTCTCCAATTGGAAATAAGCTCTCTGTCTCCACGAGGTCGGGTTAAGATATGCGTATACACTATCTTTTTCAGACCCTGTAAAGGCAGATCTAAGATTTCTAGAACATGGTGCACCACTAAAAAAGGAAAAAAAAAATATTAAGTGAGAATTCATCCCAATCATTTTGTTAAATAATTCAATATTCAACAAAGTGCACCATTCAGCCATTTTAGACTATGATTCACGTGTCCCATAATCTAGCTTATAAATCCGCCTCTACCGACCCAACTACGTGAGGTATGTTGTTTTTGTTGTTGTTGTTTCTAAACCTTTTCCACTTCTCTCTCTACTCTCAGGATATTAATCCCAAGATAGAATAGTTGAGAGATCTTAAACAATAATATTTTTCAATTAAAAAGAGAACATGAAAAATCAATTGTTATAGGAGTACGTACATATTATGACCATTCTGTTGCGCAAAAAGAAGTAAAGTATATTCTATGCAGATAATATATATTATATTCTTGATTCCCAAGTACTTCTAGGTTCGATAAAAGTCATTTTTCTCTGATGGATATTTAATTTCAGCCAAAAAAACTGGGTAAATATCACTTTTAGCTTACAGTCAAAAACTATTTATATCCGATAGTCACAAAAGTGTAAAAAAATTGTAATATCTTTTGTATATAAATACAGAAATATATATATAAAGTGTAATAAAAATATATATTTTTACGCCTATTATTTGGTTATATAGTGTAATTTTTCTTTTCCCAAAAATTTTCTAGAAAACACGTTGGGAGACATAAATTGAATAGGAAACTACTTGGAGAACAAGGCAGTCAAGGTTATGCACTTTCCTTCTCCTACTTCAATTTGGAATACTTCCCTCTCTCTATAAATACACAACAAAAAGGCAAGAAAGGAAAATATCAACACACACAAAACGCAAACACAATATCACTAAGAAAGTTTAGAGCAAAACAAAACACAATGGCAGGGCTTCAATATTATTTCTTCCCTACTGATTTCTACTATCCAAGGCCACCAAAAATCAACGGAAACAACAACAAAAATATTTCTACTGATGATGTTGCTGCGGCGGCGCCAGCTTCTGTGTGTGGCGGCGTTCTTGAAACGCCAGCGGCCACCGGCGCCACCTTGGACCGCCGTGACATGTTGTTCCAAGACAAGATTCTTAAAGTTTCAACTCCATTGTCAATGAAGTTTGTTAGATACCATCCCGTGTTGGTTTCCAAGAATGAAGGAGCTTGGAGGAGGACAGCACATTACTAAAGAGCTAACTTTACAATTTTTTTATTTTTTCATTTACTAATGTATTTTTGGTATTATTAATTCTTGTATAACTTGCTTGAAATTTGAATCAAGATTTGATTCATGTTGTTACTTTTGATGATTTAAATTGAATATATAATCCCTTTTACTGATATATTATAGTTCTTGCATTTAACTTAGTTGTACACGATTTGTGGTGCGTGATATTTTGGCTTAATGTTTTACTTTTATTAGGTCTTGTTTAGGGTAATTTGTTACAACATTCATTTACACGTACTCTAGCTAGGTTTTGTAACTGCAATATTTGTGGGTTAAATTTTTATTGTTCCCTTGCACCTTTCCCTTTGCCCTTCCCTAATTTCCATGATATATGAAAATAAGTTATCCCAAAATTAATTATTTCGGAATAACTAATCTCGGGATCAGTTATACCGCGATTTTATCCCAATCAAACGTAGAATAATTAATTTATCTCAAATTTAATCCCAAGATTAATTATCCCTTATCCCTCGTACCAAACGTGCCCAATGTATTAGTTTTTTTTCAAGAAAAAATAGCAATCTCACTAAACTATTATTTAATTATCTCTTTATAGAAGATTTGGTCTAATCTGTTGCCACATGAATGAATTGAAACAAACGAAGTACCTTTTAATGGCTTTTGAGATTGGTACACTCTTTAGTCTATGCCATGATTTTGGTTCAAATTAAATATTTATGCAAGAACTAATTAGTATACTACGTTTAAATTACCAATGAGAAGCTTCTAATGTGCACACTTTCTTGAACCAGACAAATACATATTCTCGAAGCCCATAAGGCAATTGATTCCTTGTATTCCAGAAGGTCTTTGCTAGATAACGTAAAACTCAAGTCATATGTCATTTTTTCCCTTCTTATTTCTCTGCATGCCTAATTTAAATTTACAATAGCTCGCGAAATATGTATAAATATTTAAGTTTTAAATCCCAATAATTAAAACGTGTTATGAAAATAATGACAAGTAGAGAGTCCATAAACTTCAAATCTTATCTTCGACTCTGATTGCAACAATACATAAAACAATTTATGAAGTAGGTTTAATTTATGGATGGATAGACTTTATGAAAATCTTACTTTTGGTATAGATGAAGTAGGTTAAATTATTTAATCATGTTACTTCTTTTCCCTTTATCAAATTCCTTTGCTACAGATGAAGTAGGTATATTTAAATACAACGAATAGCTGACATTATAATAAAAGGCGTGAAATAGAATATGATAACCTCTTGAAATTTTTTGCTGTAGTACGTTTATAATATGGCCAATATTGGCAACTTAATAATAAACTCTTGATTAATACAACATCGGCTTAGAAAGTTCTTTTGGGGGTAAATTTTTATTTTTAATAAAATACTTATTGATATACTTTCATCAAAGAACAGAAGTATATTCTGAGGATATATTCTAACATGCTTCGATCCCCAAGTTTACTTCAAGTTCACGATAGTTGATTTAATTTGCACTTTGGGACACCGACGCATACAATATCTCTCTCTCTATATATATATATATATACTAGTCTCTATGTTCTTGCGATGCACGATGCAAGAAATATCTTGTGCCAAACATTAAAAAATGTATATCAAAAGTAATAAATTTTCACGTTCATATATATTCTAAAACTATTTGTTACTAAATATGTGTGAATTTCATAATCAATTAAAACAAAAAAAGAAGAATATATAAAAGTCATTCAATATTTAATCTTCCCTCTGTTTCCATATAATAAGAAAAATACCACAAACGTGGTCAAATATGTAATGCAATACTATGGTGGATTGTAAAAAAAAAAAAAAAAAAAAAAAAAAAAAAAAAAAAAAAAAAAAAAAAAAAAAAAAAAAAAAAAAAAAAAAAAAAAAAAAAAAAAAAAATTGTATAAGATTAAAACCGGGCTCACCCGATTTTACTATTTGACCAAGACCGGGAGATTGTATCGAAGGATGGTCTCGTAACGGAACAGACTAAATCACGAGGATAAGGTACCGAGTTCGGAATTAAGGTACCTGTCGAGATCGAGGCTAATAGTGATCGAAACCAAATGAGACAGACATCGAGCAAGATCGAAGATAGCACAATAACGGAATGGCGAGATATTCGTGACTGATCGAGGATCATGGCGTAAATCTCGGCGTAAATCTCGGAACGGATCAAATCAGAAACAGTTAATTAGCTAATCATGGGATTTTCTTCTGTAATTAGAATTATACCATGAGTGAAATTTCTCTACTATTTAAAAGGGGGTTCTAATCATTTGTAAGACACATGGTTCACAGATATCAAAGCAATATAATTCTCTTTCTCGTTTATACTATTGTTCATCAGATTGTTATACTTTAATTGTTCTTGCATCAACCAGTTCGAGGGTATCCAAACTCGAGGGCTGAGTTCTATTCTAACACTGGTTTGCTTTACTTTATAGTTCATCATATTTATCAATCTTTATATTTATCAATTGGTATTAAGTGAAATCATGTATCCTTAGAACCACATTATAAGTTTAATTGTTATCCAATTTTAAGGATAAACAGTTTGGCGCCCACCGTGGGGCCAAGGATAATAGTGATTGCTTAATACTTATTCCGATAACACACACTGCTTTACACTTGTTCTCGTAAGAATTTTTGTTTTCAGGATAAACATGTCAAACTCACAAGCAGCGCCTACACATGGTGACAACGGCCTCGGATTTCATGGGAAAAACGACAATATAGCCGCCCCAGGGATCAAGGTGCCTCAAGCTGACCTCGATGGAGCATCAATTGCAAATCTCATCGATGTCAGTTCATATGTCACCCTAAATACAAATTTGGGTGATGATCCCGAAGGTAGAGTACGCAGGGAAGTTTGATCAGGTGGTGGAGTTAGCCTCCAATTGATATTCGAAATGTTACAGGTTCAACAAGCCGCTATAGCACAACTACAAAATCAGCACCGAACACCGAGTAGGATCGAACCAGAAGTCGTTCACACGACCGAGCCTGTGCCGGAAAGATCAAACGCCAACGAATCATGGACTAACCCCGCCATTATGAAAATGCTCGAGGAGCTCACTAAACGGATTGAATCGGGAGAAAAGAAAATCGAAGCAAATGACAAGAAAGTAGAGACATACAACTCCCGGGTTGACCAAATACCGGGGGTACTGCCGATTTTAAAGGATATGGATTCGAAGAAATTCGTATAGAAACCTTTCCCCCCAAGCGCGGCACCGAAACCCATTCCGAAGAAATTCCGAATGCCAGAAATTCCTAAATGCAATGGGACCACCGACCCTAATGAGCATGTCACTTCTTATACATGCGCAATAAAAGGGAATGACTTGGAAGACGATGAGATTGAATCTATTCTACTGAAGAAATTTGGAGAAACCTTGTCGAAAGGAGCAATGATATAGTACCACAATTTGCTGCCTAATTCCATCGATTCCTTCGCCATACTTGCAGACTCCTTCGTAAAGGCACATGCCGGAGCGATAAAGGTTGTGACTAGGAAGTCAGACCTCTTCAAGGTAAAACAAAAAGACAACGAAATGTTGAGGGAATTTGTATATCGGTTCCAGATGGAAGGCATAGAACTACCACCGGTCACAGACAATTGGGTTGTTTAAGCTTTTACTGAAGGTTTGAACGAACAAAGTTCGGTGGCATCACGACAGCTAAAGCAGAATTTGATTGAATATCCGGCGGTAACTTGGGACGATATACATAATCGGTACCAATCAAATATTAGGGTCGAGGATGATCAATTGGGGACCCCTTCCAGTTCCGTTTATCCAAACAGGTCCGTCGGCAGAACTCAAAGGGATATCAACAGAGAACCTCGGTCGAACAGAGATCGGTATCGACCATACAATGCAAATCGTAGAAACAGCGGCCAGGATGCAATCTCATCCGAAATGATCGAAGGAATGATTGAGGATAGAGCTCTCGAGGGCTCATGAGCAAAAGTGGCTTCGATAAACATGCCGATCCCACAGAAGCACCACGATTATCAGAATATAACTTCAGCATTGACGCATCAGGTATTGTGTCAGCCATTGGAAGAATCAAAGATACTAGATGGCCGAGACCTCTACAAACCGATCCATCCCAAAGAAACCCCAATCAAATATGCAAATACCATGGCACGCATGGTCATAAAACTGAAGAGTGCAGACAACTAAGGGAGGAGGTGGCATGTCTATTCAACGAGGGTCACCTTCGAAAATTCTTGAGCGACCGAGCTAAAAACCATTTCAGAGACAAGGATGCAAACAGAAAAAACGAGCAGGAAGAACCACATCACGTGATTCACATGATCGTTGGTGGGGTCGATATTCCACAATGGCCTGTGTTCAAACGCACTAAAGTATCAATCACCAGGGAAAAACGAACTCGAAACTATGTGCGAGAAGGCACTTTATCATTCAATGATGAGGAAGCAAAAGGGATCTCACAACCCCATAATGATGGTTTGTTAATCTCTATCCTTATGAATAAAATTCAGATTAAACTTGTTTTAATTGATCCAGGAAGCTCGGTCAATTTTATTCAATCGAGGGTCGTGGAGCAGCTCGGCCTATAAGATCAGATCCTACCCGCAGCTCGGATTCTCAATGGCTTCAACATGTCGAGTGAAACAACTAAAGGTGAAATCATCCTACTAGTAAATATAGCCGGAACTATTCAAGAAACAAAGTTTATGTGATCGAGGGCGATATGAGATACAACGCACTGCTCGGAAGACAAAGGGATCGGAGTCCAAAGGAGAACTGGAAGCTAAATAGCAATCACAATCACCAGCCTCGACTCAGTCGGAGAAGCAGGAAACGGACGAGGGCGATGAATACTGGACCCCTCGATCCTTAATAATCCCCGAGGGTTCCGATGCCACCAAATCGACAGTCGAAGAGCTGGAGCAAGTCATACTGATCGAG